GAAAAAACGCAACGTCGACGCTTGTGCTTGCCAACGTGTACGTTCTCCCCGTCGGCGCTGCGAATCGCGCAGCAGGAGTGGGACGCGGCGCGCATCGCGCAGGGACGCCTGCTCGTCAGCATGGACTTTTGTGTCGTCGACGGCGCGGCCCGTCGGGTTGAGGAGCTGGGCGGGCGGCAGTTCATAATGCCTGAAGCAAATGCGGTTCAAGCAAGTGCCTCTGGAGACCCCCGACAAGTCGAAAAAAACGTCCAGGAGGTCCTGGGGGGGCAACACATATATCGATTTGCATTTGGTGTTTGAAAGATTGTGAGGTTCGCACCTACTTGTGTTGACACTGTTCCAACCCGGAGAATATATCCAAGAGGCCCTCAGGCGCATTCTAGAAAGCTCCCAGGACGCCCCGCGAATTCCCAGAGGCATTCTCATCTTCCACCTCAGCTTCTCCCTCCCTTCCTCTCTCTCTCCCCTCCTCCTCCTCCCCCTCCTCCTCCCCCTCCTCCATGCGAGGCAGGGGCGAAACGAGTGGCGGTGCAACGCGCGTGGCTCGAATGAGACGCGGTGTACTTCGCGCGCTGGACATGTTGTCGCCGACGATGCAAGATTCGAGGCCGGAGCGGGGCGCGGCGTACATCGCGCGCGGTCTTGCTTCTCATCGACGTTGCTCAATAAGAGGCAGGAATAGGACTCAGCTCGTGTCGCGCGCTGAACGTCTAGCCGCCCGCGATATAAGTAAGATGACCGACGGGCTCGGACGCGACGTATTCGCTTCTTATGTTGTGGGATGGCGGGTGGGAGTGGACGGAGCCCTCTGGCTCGGTCGAGCTGGCTAACTTGGCCCTACCATGCCGTGCCCCACCCCACTCTACTCGACTCTGCTATACTCTACTCATATTGAACTCTCCACTACGCCTGCTCTACCCGCGGCCTGTCTTCCACGGCGGCCTCCGCCCTTACTTGGAGCAAGACTGCCGGCGCCCTCTTCTGGTCCTCGGGCACGGGAGGGAAGGTCGCGAAAATGAAGTCATCCTTCCTCGCCTGTTCCGCGTCGCCGAGCCGCCCCCTTTGACGCCCCGCCGTGACTCCCCGGACCAACGCGCGTTCAACTCCACCCAGGGATCCTGGAGGTAGTGCGCCTTGAATTTCCGCGGCTCATCCCCGTGCCTGGCGAGCAGATGATCCAACGCCTTGGAGTTCTCATCCCGGTGCCCAGCGCCGTAGACATGGCGCGCGACCCAGATCCCTTTCCTCGCCTGCATCGCCCTTTTGAGCACGTCAGCAGGCTGATGGTTCTCCAGCTCGCACTCGGCTGGTGGGTCGCCGGACAACTCCCCGGGGCGCGCGGCCCAGTCTGCGACCCCCGACGCCCGTGCCAGCATGTCAGATCTGCCGCCGCCCTGCCACCCAACTCGCCCCCCGCCTGGCCGCCCGCCAGTCGCGGCGCTTGCAAAGGACTGCAGAGCGCTCGGCCATCCGCGGCAGCGCTTTGACCAACGGCCCCGCGAGGTCGTCCGAACATGCAGCCATGCGAAACACGTTGCGCCCGCGCGCCGCTGAGGCGTGCACCTCGTCCTCCTTGGAAGTCGACGGGGTCGCGCTCGTCTCGCCCGTTCTCTCTTCCTCCGCGCGCTCGCGAGTCAGGTCGAGATCGCGCGCGATGTCTGCCAGTGGCCTTGTCGCGCCAGCCTCAGCTGTAGCGCCCTCGCCCTCGTCGCATATCGCCCGGAGAAGGGGGGTTGCTCAGCGGCCCCTTTCTTCGCGACTCTGGCCCAGCGCCCGGGCGCGCTTGAGGTCGCCCCCGAGGGGCGGCTGCCGAGCAAATTCATCGGGGGAGCGACGCGCGCAGGGCCTGGCCTCGGAGCGCGCCCTGGGCTGCGCGATCCCAGTCCGCCCTGACTGCGGCCCCGACGGCCGCCCCGCCCAGCGCGGGCGCGGGGGGGGGGGGGGCAAGGGCGGACGCGCCTCTGCCTGCAGCCCCAGCCTCCGCGCATCGCCCTCCCCAAGCGCCTGGCTGACCCCGCGCCGCCCCCTCCAGACCGTCGCTGGCAGGCGCAATGCCTGCAGCTCGACGTCGCTCGTGAAGGCCCCGCGGGAACGCTCCAGCGCCTGCGGAGAGGGGGGGCGACGCTGTCGCGCGCGTCTACCAAGTCGCCGACCTCCCATCAAACTGGATCCGTTCTGCCGCATCCAAAGGGCGCCCTCCGCCAGCGCGGGGCTGACGTCCCCAACTCCCTGCGGGCAGGGTCGCGGTCGTCCACGGCGGTGGATCTGGGCAGGTTGAGCGCGGTGACGCACCTGGTGGGGCGGCCGCCGGGGCCGCCCCAGCCCCGCCCAGCGGCCGCGGGATGCACGCGCGCGGGGCGACTCGACTCAGCGCCGACGCCCTGGGCAGCGCCATCGCGACGAGACTGGGCTCGCCCCCCCCCCTCCTCGCCCATCCCGCCTTGGGCCTCCGCGCCGATAATGGGACCGCGCGTCAACGTGCAAGAACAGGATTCCGTCACGGCCGCGCGCTTCCCCCAACGAGACTTCCCAGACCAACTGGAAATCCACATGCCAATGCAGCCGGAGAACTTCCCGCGCCTTCAGTGAAACACGAGGGTTTCGCAGGTGGTGCAGAGGACGACGGCGACCGGCGACGGCGCCCGCCCCCACTCCAACGACCGCCGGCTAGGGCGCGGGGGGCGCTGGTTCCAAGATGGCCTGAGGGCCGCGGCCCACGCGCGCGAGGATACCTCGACGCATCGCCCGCCCCGAAGCGACAAGACCAGCTTTGCGGCACTTGCGGGGCCGCCGCTTGTGCGCTTTGCCATGCTGCCGGCAGATTCGCCACCTTGGCCGGGACCTTCGCGTTCGCCATCCCCCCGCCCCCCAGAAGCAGCCGGGTCGGGTCTGGCCTCGAGCCCTGTCCCGGCACGTCTTCTTGCAGACCTGGTATGCCACGTCGCCTCCTGGGTGCAGCCATGCACCTGGGTGTTCCAGCCCCGACTCAGGATTCGATGTGGTCGCGCAGCAGCTCCGCCGACGCGTCCGAGACTGGCCGACGACCGCGATGACCCCTCCGTTGGCCACGCCTCTGGAAACTGTGGCACGTCCTCACCCCGCACTTGAATTCCACGACGGCGCGCCCGCGACAGCAGGCCGCCACTTCAGCCCCCATCATCTGCACTGGCAGGCAGGGATTGGGCCGCGGGGTGATCAACGCCTCCAGGTGAGTGCCTGTTTTCCCCGCAACGTGCCCATCCGACGGCGCGTACAAGCGGGGGTCTCGCGGCAGAGATGGATCACGACATCAAAGCCGACATTGTGACGCACTGCTGTCCGCATCCTGTCAATTTCGCCATCATGCCCGGGTTGAGAGCTGGGCGATCCAACCCGGCTGCTGTCTCCGACTTCGATGATGAGATGGCGCGGGCGGTTGGCAACGTCGCGCAGCAACTGGACGCAAAACTCGTTGTCCACCGCCTGAGAAGGGGAGCTTCGCTCTCCGCAACAGCTACTCCCTCAGCTGAGTCCAGCGCTTGCGCACGAATCGAAGATTCGCCCCACTGCCCCCAACGGAACACAGGCGAACATATCCACCGCCGACGCGACCGCCTGCGGTCTATACCCTGCCCCGATCAAGATCGCCACCGTGGGACACGCGATCGTGGAACAGTACACACAGGGCCAGAGGGTACCGAAAGTGACGACGCCCAGAGAATGGACCGCGCTGCCCAAGATACCTCCGCTGCTCAAGGATTACGTCGCCACAGGATAACTCCAGCACGTTCGAAAACCATCCTCTCAGCCAGCTCATCCTGACATCGCCGAACATGAACCATCCGAAAATATCCTCCCCTATCGTTGTCGTCACGGTGATCCTGCGGAGATGTGCGGTCCTCTGCTCGCCCGCGCCTCCTCTGACTCAGCCAAACCCCCAAACCTCCATCCTCAATCTCAGCGGCACCGCCCCTGGCCGGCAGCCTGCCCGCCTGGCGCGTGCTCGGGTTGCCTGGGCAGCACCTCGACCTCCTCTGCCCAGCGCGCGCCCCCCTCAGCAGTCCAGGTCTCTCGGCAAGGGCCTGCAGCTCAGCCTCCTCCACGGCTTGTGCGGCGGAGACTGCATCCTCTTTTGCGGCCAGTGGGAGCGATGGTGTGGCCTTCCTGGTTGGGTCTATCCACCGTCCGATCTCGGCAGCAGACGCGAGTCCTATCAACGTCGGGCGGACGGCCATCATGTGACCTCCTGCGCTGGCGGAGCCCCTCAACCCGAGTTCCAGGGCTGGTTGCGCGTCAGCAGCACCGCAAAGCAGGAACCTCGATGGCCCCCTCCTCTCCTCGCGATCCTCTCCTCACCCAGGGCGCCTCACTGGCGGCACTTCCCCAGGGGACATCCCCAGCCTGGCCGCATCTGGGCGGTGAGGCCCAGCGCGATCGCGGCGCCGGCCGGGTGGCCCGCGCGGGCCGCCCCCCGCGGGAGGCGCAGCCTTCCCGGGCCTCTGAGGCCCGAAATGAGCTTGAGCCCCAAGAGGCCGCGGAGCGAGGGACGGAAATAAAGAGAGAGAGAGAGAGAGAGAGAGAGAGAGAGAGAGAGAGAGAAAGAGAGAGAGAAGGCCCACCGCACACCTGGGCACCACACACTAGATTACGTTTCAATCCGCGCTCGTACTCCCACGAGGCTTCCAAGAGGCCTCCCAAGAGATCTCCACATCCAGATCATGTCTGAACAACCACGATGATGAGATAATATGCCGATGGACAACAATATCTCCTTTTCATCTTGAGCCAAAATAGGCGCACAGAGGAGGGTGTCAGAATCACTCCTCCTCGGGCCTGGCCGCAAACCGGCCAGGCACGACTTAAGTCGTACGCGGGCGCGCCCGAGCCGACGCGCCCAGCTCATCGGCTAGGCTGCGGCCATGCCGCGAGCCCCTCACTCCGCCCGGCGCGATCATACCGCCGCCGGCGGAACCTCATCCAGCCCCACAGGTAGCGGAGCATGGATTCGATCCACTCCATCACTTGATGTCCTTCTGATTCGAACTCGGTGCCCGATCCCAGATGTTCAGCGTGGCCATGTGTCTCCTCAACAGGGAGCCACCCACGCTCTTGGTCAGCACGTCCGCGACATTGTTCTTGCCAGGAACTGCAGCGATCGAGAGATCGCCCTTGCCAACGCGCTCCTGGATCCACAAGTATCGTGATTGAACATGCCGCATCTTCCCGAGACCTCGCCGTTGGACGTGGCCCCGGGCCGCCGATGAATCCGAGGCAAGCTCCACCTTCAGGTCCAGCCCCCAATCCGCGAAGAGGCTGTGAAGGCCTAGGCCCACGCTCCCGCCCTTCACCAGGGCGTAGTACTCGCTCTCCCCGCTGCTCAATGAAACCGTCGACTGCAGGTTACTGCCGTGCTTGACTACATGATGCCCCAGCATCGCCACGAAACCTCCGGTGCTCTTCCGCGTGACTGCACAGCCTGCATGATCGGAGTCCACGTACACCCGGATCTTGTCGAACGTCTTCTGCTCCGTGAAAACCGTCACCGTGCTAGGATGCCGCTTGAGGTAGCGGCCAACCCTCTTGAGCATGAGCCAGCTCGCCTCCGTTGGCGTCTGCATGGACCTGGCGAGCGTCTTCGATGCCTCAGCCAAGTCCAGCCTGTCCTGAGACAGGTAGGCCACCCTCATGGTGAGGGATCGGAAGCGCGAAGCTTCCGCTGCTCCCAACGCCGCCGACTTCGCATCCATCATCTGCTTGTCGGCGCTGCGCTTCTCCGTCGGCGTGTCCACGCCGTTGGCCTTGCTGAGACCCAACTCGTCGATCACGATCTCCGCGTGCCGCTTGTCCGGCTCGATCATCGCATGCCGGCAGGGCCGGCCACCGCCAGGCGGAACTCCCGCACTGACCTCGATGACCCGATTCAGGAAGACCGCCTGCTTGTCATCGCCCTCGTCGAAGCCTAGGTTCGCAGTCTTCTTGAACTCGTACTTCTTGCCCAGCGTGGCCTCGAAGCTGTCGATGTCCTGCTGCTGAGCCAGCACCGCGAAGTCGTCGCCGTGCCCCAGCAGCCTCGTCTCGTCCACCTCCTTGTAGAAGACCGCTGGGCACGACACGCCTGCCTTGTAGCCGTTTTCCTCCAGCAGCTCCGTGTAGTCGCCCTGCCAGATCTTGCTGGCGTCCTGCGTGCCGTACCAGGACTTGAGGAGTAGGCCGCACTTGTCCTCGCCGTACTCCTTGCGACTCTCCTCCTCCAGCTCCACGAAGATCCTCCGCTGCGCCTTCCCGTAGAAGTGCGCCCTGCTGATGTCGAAGAAGCCGATCTTGAAGTTGCCCGGCTTCCTGCCCTTCTTGCGAAGCGACTCCTGAATGTGGAGCGGTGGTTCCCGCGTCCACGTGACCATCAGCGAGACCAGCGACCGCATGGCCTCCAGAGGAGGCATGGCCGAGAAGACCTCGGACGCCTCCAGCTGCTCGTCAGGGCGCTTCTTCGCCTTGATCTCCTTCACGACGAGCCTGCTCCTGTAGTTGGGCCTCTCCGCGTCACCCTTGTTCGTGTCGACCCACTTGAGTGGGATGGGCGGACGCCCAGTCTCGGCGAAAGCCTGAGACCTCGGGACGATCTCGATCAGCTCCTGCTTCTTGACCCACTCGCGCTCGACCGTGCGAGCCTGGGCCACAAGGCCCGCCTCCAGGTAGCCGCCATTGACGTCGTCCCAGTAACTCGTCCAGTCCCCGGGCGGCACTGCCGCGTCCACAGGGACTGGGCCCGACTGCTGCACCTGGGCGGTGCTGAGCTCTCCCACGTCATTCAGCGTGTCCTTGAGCTCCTCCAGCACCGCCTCCACCAACTTCGGTGGATAGACCTTCGCGAACCGCGCGATGCCGCCCACGAGCGTGATGTGGCGATGCCATTCCGCGCGGCCGTCCACATTGCTGCAAGTGCCCTGCAGCCTCCGGGCTAGGCCTGGATGGTTGGTGACCCATCCGGTCTCCTTGCGCACGAACTCCTCCTGGCCATTGCGGGGGTTCGTGAGCTTCATGCCCCACCGACACATGGGGCCTTTGACCGTGAAGACTCCTGGATGCGCGACCAGCTCCTTGACGATGTCCTCATTCCACGATCGCGCGCTCCAGGGATGCTCATGCAAGAAGTACCTGCCTGGCTTCCTGAGCTGACGCCAGTAGGCGTCGACTGCCACCTTCAGGTGGTGTCTGGCCTCCTCCATCTCAGCCGCCTCCTGCTCATCGGTCCTGAACTTGGCGCTCAGGCCCCTCAGCAAGCTGAACTTCTCGCATGGAGGGGACCCCGTGAGCAGGATGGGATCCATCCGTTCCTGCTGCTTCTCGAGCTCCTTGACATCTTCGGGGCGCCGCAAGTCCCACGGCGTCCCGTCCCCCTTGAGTTCCTCCAGGTCCGCCGCGAAGCCCGGGCGCAGCTGAAATTCCGCTGCCCGAGCCGAGAACCGATGTGGCGAGTACACCTCGGCCACGTCCACGGCGCCCAGCTGCAACGCCGATAGGGCGATGCTGTCCACCTCCTCGTCGGCGATGTCGACGCCGGCGCTGGCCCAATGGCCACTGACCTGTTCGCGAACGAGCGGGAGCAACTCCGCCTTCGCTCTCGTCAGCACTCCGAGCTCAACCAGCTCGATCGACGCCACATCGAGGGCGAGCACCCGCATGTGCCTCCCCTCACTGGCGTTCCACACGACTGCCACTCCAGCTGGCAGCTGAGGTCCTTCCGCCGGCGCCGGCTGCGCCGCGAGATCCTCCATGTCCACCGGTACCGGCACGTCTGCCGGCTGTGGATCACCGCGCTCGAGGGCCTCCGGCACATCATCCGGGGCCACCTCTGCCGAGCGCTTCAGCCGCGACCTAGCCGCGGTCATGTCGACATCCGCGGCGGCCTCTGCCGCTCGCGCTGCTCCCGAACTGGAGCTCGCTCCTCCTGAAGGAGCCGCCACGCCGAAGCCCGGTGCTACCGGCTGGCTCTCTCGCAGGCGCGCCGCCGTGGCTGCCACGGCTGGCGCTGCTGCCGAGCGGGTCGCGGCCGGCGCGGCCGATGCCGCTGCCGCCGCTGCCGCCGGCTCGGTGATCCTCCGAGCCGTCTTCGGCGGAGGGGTCCCTGCCGCGGCCGATGCCGCCGGTCGGACTCTGGCCTCTTGGCCCTGCCTCCGCTCTCGATACTGGCCGGTCCTCTCCCGGCCTGCCTCCTCCGCGTCCAGCGCTTCGAAGATCCTCTTGCTGCACACCGCGTTGTGCGCGTGGCCAGCCAGCACCCGGCCGTGCTTAGCGATCGAGACGCACCCTGGGCATCCCGGCGTTGCGCCCAGCCGCTCGATGTCCGCCTTGAGGACGTGCATCCTCCTCGGCGCCTGCGGCTGCGGCGACACCACCACAATTGGTGACGGACCGACCTCTCCAGGTCCGACGATGGCCCGCGGCGCGCTCGCCGCACGCGGAGCCACGTCCCACGGCAGGCCCTTCAGGCCATCCCAGCCCGCCGTGATCCACTTCTCGCTCTGCGGCAGGCTGCGGAAGCCGACCGCCTTCTTCACGCCGTCGCTCGTGATGACCATCATCGAGCCGTCGCGCGGGTGGTGGCCGATGTAGCGAGCCTCCACCATCTGCTCCTCCAGCGCGTTCTTCCTCACGCGTTCCCCGGCGAACCGCGCCATCAAGCGTTCGCCGAAGAGCGGGACCGGCTTCCTCCACTGCCGTCCCGTGAGTCGCTGAAGAGCGGTCTTGCCGCCCTGGCCGCGCCGGTATCGGTTGATTACCGATGCGGCGTGCTCCGGCAGGTGCGCTAGCACCGGGTGCTTGTCCTCCACCTTGACGCCCAGCTTGGACTCCAGGTCCATCTTGAGCGCCCGCACCTGCTTCTTGATCTCGCGCACCGCGACCTCAATCTCCCCATTGGCCTGATGATCGGTCGGTGCCGACTCCTGGGGAATGGCCTCGAGGCCAGGAACCTCCTCCACCGCACGCCTCTTGACCAGCAGGATCGCTGGCTCGCCGTCGGACTTGTTGACGATCTTCCTGTAGCCCAGGATCCGCAAGAAGCGTGCGAAGAACTTGATGGCGTAGGCGTCGTCGCCTTTCTTCTCCACGAATGTCGCCGCCATCATCTTCGAGCGCCGATCCCTAAGGACCAGCATCGGCATGGTGTCCGCGTCGTCCTGGCCCATGAAGGCGTAGTCGGACGAGACCACCGGCACCGCTGTCTCGTCGTCCTCCGGTGCGCGGAGATGCGGCTGGCCTTGGCCCTTTGCCGCAATACACACGCGACACCAGCTGCGATAAGTCGCGTGTCCCATCGCCTCGTGTTCGGCGATCTCCCTCTGAGAGGGCTCATGAGGTGCCTTCAGCACTCTCGGGCGAGCCTCCTCCTCGCCCTCGTCGGCCTGCTGTCCGTCAGGAGCAGCTGGCAAAGCGTCGGCCGCAGCAGCTGCCGCTGGCTGAAAACCCGGCGGTCTCACGTCGGAAGGTCCCGACCCCGCCGCTGCCGCCCCCGCAGCCGATGCCGCCGGGGGCCGTGGTATTAAGTCCTCCAGTGGGCTTACGCCGAGGGCTGCCTCCTGGGGACTGTCTTCTCGAGGATCTCCAGCAGCTCCTCCTTCGACTTGCCGCTGAGGAGCTCCACCAGCTCGGACTTCGACTTCGCCAAAAGTCCCTCCTCGAGAGGAGCAACCGAGCCATGTTGGCCCTTCTTGAGATAGAAGTTGTAGACGCCCTGCTCGCGATAGACCGGCAGCATCTGGTGCTTCGCCGCCTTCGCCTCCTTCTCGAGCATGCCTACCACGCGCTTGCCGATTGGGCTCTTCTCGTGGAATATCCAGCCGCCATTGCGGCCCAGGAATGAACACTGTCCAGCTCCTGCTGCCTGCCCCACCGAGATCAACGGCTTGTGCACGTTCGTCACGCGTCCCTTGAGCGCTCGTAGCACTCCGTACTCGTCCTCCGCCTTGAGCTGCAAGCTGCCCTCGTCCGGGACGAGCTCACCACTGGCCGTGCGATACGTGCTGCCGTTGCCCTTCATTCCCGTCGGCGGCGCGAAGCTCCGAGGGAATGCTGAGATAGCTGCACCGCTGTCCCAGTTGAACTTCATCCAGTCGTCCTGCGCGAAGGGAGAGAGATCGACCGCCGCTACGCCGCGGCCGCTGCCGCTGGCGAGCTCCAGGCAGTCCAGGCTGCCCATGTCCAGAGCGGCGACCTCCGCTTCAGGCTCCTCCTCCAGGCTGCCTGCAGCCTTGCCGCCGGCCTTGCCGCCGCGGCTACCGGCTGTACCACCAGCGCTTGCCCCCGTTGCGGATCCAGTTCCAGCCCTCGAACTCGATCCCTGCTCTTTCTTCCAGCAGTCGGATGCCTTGTGGCCCCATCTCTCGCAGTTCCGACAGTAGCCGTCGAAGCGCCCGCTGGTGTATCGAGGTGCCGTGTGCCCTGAACCACGGCCCGAACCCGTCGGGGATGTGCGGGAGCCTGAGTATGATCCGTTCGTCGATTTGCTCTTCCCCTTCGGCTCCTGAGTCTTGCCTTTCCCTTTGCTCTTGCCGTCCTTGCCCTTGCCTTTGCCTTTGCCTTTCGGGGCTCCGAATGACCCGACGTCCATGTCGTCCGGATGATGCGCCCGCGAACGGATCGATGGCTCCTTGATCTTCACGCCGGTCCGAGCCTCCACGATCGTCATCACCTCGTTCAGACTGTCCTGGAACGTTTCGAGCCGATGCTTGTTGAGGACGAGGTGGTTCTCGATGTCCTGAGGGACGAGCATCTCGAGAGCCGCCATCTTGATATCCTCTGGCAGCTCGGCTAGACCATCTTCTCCTTGGCGGCGTTCGTACCTGCCTATCTGCTGGATCCACTTCTCTAAGGCGGACCCCAGCTCGTCCGCGCTGCACTTCGGAGGCGAGATGATCGACCTCAGGATCAGCCTCTTCCTCGGACCTGTCGTCGGATCCCACCTGCGGTGGAGCTTCCGCCAGGCTTCGAGACCGTTCCCATCGGGAGCGCCCGTCACGAGGTCGTTGCTCTCGCTCCCGTCCGCCGTCGTGCTGATCAGCGCCGCGTACAGCTGGTTGACCTTTGTCTCCAGCTCTGGCACTCCGTCGTGCGCCGCCTGAGCCCCCGCGATCGTCACGGGGCGTTCGGCTTCTGCAGCCCACCGAAGAACGGGACGAAAACTCTCTCCGTACACGCCGATCACGTAGTTCTCCATCTTGCGATTCCAAGCGCCGAACTTCTCTTGATCGTCGCCCATCGTCGTGGGCTTGCCGATCCCCTTCGTGTCGACGAGACCTGGAGCGGCTGTGCCCATACTCGACGCGCCCCGGATCTGCTCGCCCATCCTCTCGATCGCCTGCGGGATTGCCGCGAGGCCTCCTGCTACCTGCTGCTGAAGACGCTGATTCTCGTTCTCCAGCCTCCTCATCTCGTCGGCGGCCTGGCCTATTTGAGCCGCGAACTCCTGCCTCAGCAGTTCGAACTGCTGCCGAACCTGCTCGTCCATGCTTGACAGCGTGTCTCTCGGCGAGCTCCTCCCGGCTCTCTGCTATCTCCTGCCTCGTGCGCTCAAGGTCCGTGATCCTGCCTAGGACCTCCTTCTGCGCATCCTCAATGGCGTCCGATGAGTTCTCCGAGGGATGGTCCTCGATATGTGCGAGGTCTCGGAGCTGGTTGCCAGTCTCCCTCAAGTCGTGCTTGAACTGGAGGGCCTTGCGCCTGGTCTCGATCGCCGCCTCACTCCGCTTGCCGCGCCTGCGGCCGCCTTTCCCGGCCCCTGCCGGTCGCTCGGACGCTGCCGAGCTTGCCGCGATCGACGCCGCTCTCTTCCAGCCTCGAGCCTCCTGCTGGCTCGCCGTGGCGCCCGCGGCCGCGGCGCGCCGAGGCCTGGGTGGGGTCGGCAGCAGTGAGTGGCCAGCTCACGCTACCATGATGAGATAATATGCCGATGGACAACAATATCTCCTTTTCATCTTGAGCCAAAATAGGCGCACAGAGGAGGGTGTCAGAATCACACGAAGTGCTCGGACAATAAACGAAACAACAACACGCCGACGGCGTGCTTCCCGACCTATGAGGTGTGGATCTGCCCTGCGCCCGACGGTCCTCGACCCTGCGGAGCTGCCGCAGGTCCAGCGGCGCCGCCGCCGCCGCTGGCGCCCGCCCGGCCATGGCCGGCCGCGGCCGCCCCTCGGGCACGCGGGGGCACCGAGGCACCGAGAACCGCGTGGCCCTGTTGCTCATGCTGCTGCCGCGCCTCGTCCTACGTCCCCGTCTCCGCATTCCCGCTCCTCCTCTCGTCCCCTGGACGGCCATCGGCGACGCCTCCCTCCTCGCCCCTGCGCCGGGCAGTACCCTCTGCCACTCTCCCACCCTCGCTCCTCGTGCGTGGGCGCAAGTTCGCCTCCACCGCAGCCCGAGCTGGCCACCGCATCGGACGGGGACGGCGCCGATGACCAAACAGAAGTCTGCCGCCATGTGGGCTGGGCCCTCCCAGGGGCCCGCCGCGCGCGCGCCCCACGCCTCGCAGGGACTGCCTCGCTGCGGCAGCGCGCCTGCGCAGAGCGGGAGGGGGGGGGGGGGGCGAGCGGGAGGAGGCGAGCGCCAGAACGGGAGCGCCGTCTCGGGGAAAACGACACGAGGGGGGGAGGCAAGCAAACGGGAGGTCAGATGCATCCTGCTGCCATCCCCGGCGCCTCGAGGCGCCAGGAGCAACAATGCATCGAGGAGGGCACCGGGCGGCGTAACCGAAACCACCTGCATGCAGCAGCGGAGTACCGCCCCGCATGTCCACCCCACCCCGTTGCGAGATAGGGTTTCTTCATATCCACCGCCTGGGGAACCGATGTCCCGAGACCCTTCTAAAGGGGTAGGCATGGACATACTTGGGCTTGCATGCAGGAGTTGCACGTGCGTGCCCAAGCTCATACAAGACACTATGAAGGGGCACCGGCTAAGGTTGCCACACCTTGCGACCCTAAAGGAAATTATGCGATTCGCCCCAGTGGACATGACATCACGATCGACCCACGAACCTGGAAAGGGATTTAGAAGTCCGAGGCGTGGGAACGCTTCCGAACACCTGAATTGGGCGATCGGCAGTGGCAGCGCTGAAGATATCAAGAGCGGTGCTATGCTGCTGTGCGCAGTGACGCGCCGCATAATGACGTGCCAAGGGACGCACCACGGAACGTGCCACTGGAAACGCCAGGAGACGTGCCAGGGGACACGATGCTTTGAACAGTGCCGTGCGTTGTTGCATTGTGGGTCAAGCCGTCCTTGGCGTCAGAGTCCTGACCGAACTGATTTGGATCTTAAGCTCGAAATGCCTCAACGCACAGCTCGGGATAGTTGCCAGATGCAGCGCGCGGGGCACTCGACCAGCTCGAGCCCAAAAACCGATTCATTTCAGAACCCCTCGCCCGAGACGCCCTCACAATTCGCTCGGGCATAGAGCCAAAGAGGCACATGTCAGATACCCTTCTGTGTGGCCTGGGCGCGTGTGGGGCAACCATGTTCGATACCCTCCTGGGCGGCCTTTTCCCCATTTGGGGCGTTAGGAACACATGTGTTTTCACGCTTGTCCCGCTTTGGGGCGTTAGGGACCCATGCGTTTTCACGCCTGTCCCGCTCCAGGGCGTCACAAAACCACCTGGCTGTCACGTTTGTCCCGTTCTGGGGCGCTAGGAACCCACATGTTTTCACGTTTCTCCCACTCTGGGGGCGTCAAGAACCAACGTGTTTTCACGCTTGCCCCGCTGAGAGGAGCGCACGTGGTGTCACGATTGTCTGGCTCTGGGACGTTAGGAACCCATGTGTTCACGGCTGTCCCGCTCTGGGGCGCTAGGAACCCACGTGTTTGCACGCTGCTCCCACTCTGGGGCGTCAGGGACCCATCTGTTAGTCTCGCAGGCCGCTCCCATGCCGCTCCCAACCCTGGAACGGCAGGCATCCATGACACGAGGCGCGCGGCGCCACAGCTAGAGGTGAAAAGGGCGCGGGGGGGCGGGACAAGTGGCCCCACCCTCGACCCCATTTCAAATGGCGGCGGATGTGCTGCAACTCGTCGTTATGTCCGCACGCGAAGAGAGACGAGGAGGGGGATGTGAGAGGCGAACATCGGTTCACCTTCGCGAGCCCGAAGTAGCTCGCAATCAACCCTCCTCCTTTGTTTCATTGGCCATGAAGGGTCCCGCAGGTCGATTGCAGCCCCAATGCCCATGTTGAACAATTGGAACGGGCCCTAGAGACGAGGCGCAGCGGTGCATGCTTAATTCTCAGGGCCAGAATCATCGACGACGCCCTGCGCAGGCAGGCCGACGGCGACCTCATCACCAGATACAAATGGCCTGGCAGAGACCACCCAGCGCCAGCCCCCTCGCGACAGCATGGCTTCGACTCCCGATGCAGCAAAAGCGGTCGCAGCGGCGCCTCGCCGAACACCGTGCCCAAACCAGGCACGGGGGTTAACGACCCTAACAACACACGAATGACACCGACACTCGGCCGTCAAGGATGCAGGAGTGTATCCACCAAGCGGGCGATCCACTGAGGAGGGGCTCGTTCCACACCAGTAGCCGCTTAAGCAGGTAGATGCCCTGATCCATTCCGCACGTGCGAAATGAGAAAACCGTGCACGTATCCAACCTCTGCTTGCGGCGGATTGGCCCGTAGTCGAACAACGAAGCGGCCTCTCTGTGTCTGCACGAAGGCGCGCTCACTGCGAAAAGCTCGGACGGCATCCGCAAGAGAAAGATATACGCCAGTGCCGCGATAACACGACAACGCGCGCGCTGCAGCGACAGAGCATGGCGGAGCAAACGCCACAGGAACGGCAGGTCACCCTATGGCAGGGCAGCCGGGGCGTCCTGCACTTGGCGGTGCCCAAACGGATGCCGCGGAGGATGATGTCCTGACCCTGCCACGGCACGCCGGTTACCTGGTGTGCAAGGGCCCACGCGCTAAACCAGCAGCGTCGCGGGGAGGCGCACACGCACACGGCCCGGCAGATGCGTTGCACCGCGCACCCAGGCGAGTGGGGGAGCCCCGAAGAGCTTAAAAACCCCAGCGACCATCCGCAGATTGGACGCGTACGTCCAGAGGGTGGGCGGCACAGTTTTGCACAACCGTGTCTGCCATGTTCACCAAATCCACGCCTGAGGCGCGGGCCTCATTTCAGCCTCTTGAAACCTGGCGTGGCGAGGCCCCGTCAGGATGCTGAGGGGTGCAGTTTCTGTCTCTGCTCAGCTCCACCATCATGTCCCAGTTGTGCCTCTCAGGCGCCTGCCCGAGCGCGTCGACCACGCGCCAGACGGCGTCCCATGCACTCGCTGGGCCGCCAACCTCTGCGGCGGCTGCAAACGACTGCGCCCGCAGGGTCGAAACGAGGCGACGCGCGGGCAGCGCGGTGGACTGCCGTCACCACCGCGGCCTGCGGGGCCAGGGGGCCAAGCAGGGCAAGCGGCGGCGCCGCCAAGGGCCCAGCGGGGCCGAAGGGTGACCGCAGTGGACTCGGACATGTGCGCGGCGCCGCGGGCGCCTCTGGGGTCGGCCAGAGCGCCCGGCCAGCGTTTCAAGACCCAGGCCTTGGACCGCGCGCGCCATCTGGGCGGGGCGCCGAAAAGGGGGACAAAGTTAACCCAACTCGGCGCAGCTTGGGCGCCATTCTGGGGAGCGCCCCGGCCATGCAGTCCTCGAGCCAAGCGCGGCTGCTGCTCACGCGCGGCGTCACTCCCCGTTTCCTCTTCATGAGCTCCTCGTGCGTCAAAGCTCCTGTCCTCTACTCCTCCTGTCCTCCCTGCCCTCCGTGTCAGGCGGCTGGCCGGCGCCGCGCCTGGAACGTCATAGTTTTCGCCCCCTGCTAGGCGAAATGACGAGGAGGCCAAAAGTAGAACGGGAGAAACGGAAGGAAAACAGAGGACGATGAGGAGGAGTAGTCGGAGGAGGAGGAGGAAGAGGAGGAGGAGGAGGAGGAGGACGACGACGACAAGGGCGACGCGGCCCCATTTCAGAAGCAGCAACAGCAGACGACCCACCGACGCGAGAGGGATTTGTTCTAGCAGGAGTGGCGTGACCCAAAAACCGGATGCGCAATCGTGGCGGCCGAAGTACACCGAAAGCGTGGGGATGACAGCGGCCAATTCAGCCCCGAACGCTCGAAGCGCAGCTTCCCCACCCTCGCGGGAAGCAGCGTCAATCGGGCGTTCGGGGATGTGTGCACGCACTCGATCAAGCACGTGATGCCAAATGAAGTCCCGACCGCGCAAGCGACGCGGGGGGAACGGGCATACCCTTTGACACTCCCATAGACGGCCGCCGTGTTGTGCCCCCAAAGCCCTAGAGAAACAGAAAAGTTAACCTGGCACCACACGCTTCGAGCGCTTTAACATTATACCATGCCTCAGCGCCATTGACGGTGCGTTCCTCGCTCGGCCCGATCGTCTCTAACACACCAGGCGGTAGAACTAGGCTGAGGCCCTCGCAAAACAAATTGCGCGGGGATGACCAGCGTGGCGGCGGCCCTGCGCGAAACCATGGAGGCGCTACCGTACAGCGTCGCGACCGGAGCGCCAGCGGGCGCCGCAGGTGCCGCCCGGGGAGGGCCGCGCCTCAGAAGGCCGGCCCAAAGGTGCAGGGAAATTTGCGGCCGCGCCGGTCAAGAGCCCCTGCCTTTGGATGGGACCCATCTTACCCAAGGCTTCAAAAAGTGGCCGCGCGCGCCCGCTTCGCCGTGTAAGCCCCGCGAAGCGAAACGAATTTCCCTACGCGCGTGGCCGCCGGGCCTGCCTGCGGGCGGCTGCGCGCATGGTCCTCGCACCCCTGGGAAAGAGGCTCCTGCCTGCAACTGCGGCTGCTGACGAGGGGGCCCAGCCCAACAAAGAACTCAAGCAGCCAAGCTTGGCCTTGGCCTCATCAGCGCCGTACCCGAGCACCCTAAACGCCTCCTCAGTGACAAATTGGGCAGACGCTGCGGAATAGGGTGGCGCCCACGACCAACAAAGGTCGAAATCGTTGTCGGCATTAATGAAGAACCAACGGCTGAAAAATTTCTGAAACTACGGAAAACCACGCTTGCGTTGGTCACCGCGCCTCCTGCAACGAACTGCAAGGGAAACAATTCCCAAACGACCATGCGCGGGGGCCAGAAGAGCTGCACTGCCCGGACCAGGTCGCGGCGGCGCCCGATCTGGTGATAAGCCTTGCGCGAATCGTCCTTGCACCCAACTAGGGGCACACCGAAAGCCCTTTGCGAAGCGACCGTTCGTGAGAGCACCACCTCGCTATCAGAACAAACGATGCGGTCTGCTGCAGCCCAGGCCATGTCAAAACAGCTCTCGCCTGGCGAGTCGGATGCGTCTGCGCACGCCGTGACCTCAATGGAGCAGGACGCCTGGCCAGACTCAATCTCCGACCACCGTGCTTGGCAGACTGGGAAATTACGACAAAAGACAGCATTGCCAGGCGGGCCCTGGGGAGCCCGTGGCTTCGGCCTGCGGGCGCCCTGTTCCCACACCTCCGCCGCGCGCGGGTGGCTCTTACGCGCGCGCTCCACCAGCTCAGCGTTGCGCCCGGCGCAGTGTGCCAGCAGCTGCTCCACTGACCACTCCGGCGCCGCTGCCGGGAGCGGAGGAAAAATGCCTGAAGCGACCGGCACGCCCTCGACCCTCGACCTCCAAATGGCGGCGGACGTGCTGCAAGGCCGCACGCACACACGCGAAGAGACGCGAGGAGAGGGAGGTGAGAGTCAAAGCCCATGTGTGTGTTCACGCTTGTCCCGCTCTGGGGCGATAGGAACGCACGTGTTTTCACGCTTGCCCCGCTCTGGGCGTTAGGATCCCACGTGTTTTCACGCTTGCCGTGCTCTGGGGCCTACGTGTTTTCACGCCTGTCACGCTCCGGGGCGTTAGGCGCACACGTGTTGTCACACTCTTGTCCCGCTCTGGGGCGTTAGGAACTTGCCGTTAGCAGCTGGAGGGACTTACCGCAGGCAGCTGGATAATGGTTCCTACGACAACCAAGGTACATGCGAACATCACCATGCTTATCAACAACACGCTACCTTGAAAAACACTGCAGACCTTCTCAATACTCAATACCACGGAACCTGTGGGCACAGTTATCTTGAGGCCGCTACTACATCGCCATAGCATTGGGGAACACAGCCCCCATCTTCTTCCCCCACCACCTGTCCCCTTCCACTCTTTTCCCCTCATGTCCTACCTCCAGGCACTGAGGGCAAGCTTACAGGCCGTATATAATATGTTTCACCCATCGATGGGGCGTCGTAAGCGCTGATCTCCAGACATTTCTGTTGATGCTGCCTTTCTTTTCGATTTAACCCTCGCCCAAGGCCCGCCCGACCCCGCGGCCCACTATTTTTCAGGCCGCTCAAATGGGGTCGAAGTGAATGCGGTCGGAAGATCACACCACATCGCCAATGCATCGGCGATGCGGCGGCAACGTCTGCGATGCATCCGCGACGCTGGCGTGGAGAAGGTCGGGCAACACATCGAGCCGCATTGCCTAATTATGCATCTGCGAGGCGGCGCGACTCTCCGACCCCAGCCGCTCCGACCATCTTTTGGCGGCCCGTCCAATTGCTTGGCATGAAGGAACCGGGTCCTGGACGAGTTCTCCATTCGGGATACTATTCTGATGTCCCGGGGCCCATGGAGGGCCCCAGGAAGCCGCAAGCGGCGACAAACCTCAGGCGCCACTCCCCTCCTGACCCGCTTCCCCAACGCCGAATTTGGCGCGCCCTTTTGCGGGGGCTGCTCGCGCGGCCGCGCCCGCCAGCGGGGCCACGTCTGTCCGGTGGCCGAGCCCGCGCCCGCCCCAGGCCGCGGGCGCCCCGCCGCGCTGCGGGAACGCCCCGCGGCCGTGCGGCGCGGGACCCTTGCGCGTGTCCCCGCTGTTGGGGGCCGCCGCTGCACGCACCCTTGGCGGGCGGGGGGGGAGAAGTCCAGGCGGGTTTGTGTTCGCCGCGTCGGCCTCCCGGGGGCTCTCGCGGGTCGGGGGTCCCAGAGCAATGTCGTGACGGACCACGCGGTGCCCTCGAAACCCGCACATATCACACACCTCACCGCACGGTCCATCACCCCACGGTTTCGGAACCCTGAAGGCCCCAGTGACCCGAGACATTCTCGGAGAACGACCCGAATCCCAAACCCGTGCGGGCTCTCGCTGGGCCCCCAGGCTCGGGAAGAGCCGGCCCCGTGGAAGGGCTAGGATTTCGGGGGGCCGTGTGCCGAACAAATCAAAACATCGGATGACTGGGGGGCAGAGGGGGCGGGAGGGGAGGGGGGGAAAGACCACGGCGGCGGTGGGCGGGTCCGGCGCAGCAGCATATACGACGAGGGCAGGATGAGGACAAAATGGGATGCATCGGGGATCTCTGAGAGCAGGCGGGTTTATCAGACGCCGCGGCCTCTCCAAAGCATCCTGGAACGCTCTGGGAGCGTTCCAGAACGAGATGGAGCGATCGTTCCCCGTCCTAGGTCTGCCTGAGGGCCGCGGATACCCACGTCTGACGCGTGGTCATCCCTCGAGGCCTGATTTGTGCACATCGGGCGCCGAAGCGCCACAACCGCAGGAGAGATGTGGTTACTTTCGGACCCCTTTGAGGTACGTGAGGGGAATCGAGGCGGCGACAGGCAAGCATGATCGGCTGGAATCAGATCGGATCTGAACGTGTATTAACCGCATCGGCGCCGAGCCAAAATCCGAAGTGAACCTGCCGCGCCAAGGCGCACAGCGCAATCTCAAGCGCCAGGTCGCATCGAATCCCCGGGACATCGGAATTTCATCGGGTCGAGTAGGGTGGCATAGACATCGAACCCAGATCGATCGCATCGAAGTGGACCGTGTGGCAGCTCTCGCTAGTCTGAACACGTTTCCAGTTCGGTAGAACAGATCGGGTCCTGGGCAGCGGGGCTTCCCCTGGAGACTTTGGCGCCGTTCCCAAGGATCTCCCAGGAAGGCCCACAGGTCGTGTCGGACGAAAGAGAGGGGAACATATAGGGGGGTATATTTCCTCAGCGCCTCCTGGCACCAGAGGCACCAGTGCATCGAGACAAAAACCCGGCGGCGGGGCCGATACCTGCTACACTCCGCAGATTTCGCAACTACCCCTGTCCCAGTCCTCCCTGTTCGTCTGGTCGGACCAGGGCCCATGACTCCTTGAGCTCATGGCGAGGGTCGGCGGGAGGCGGCCGGGCGGCCAGGCGGCTAGGCGAATGGCGGCTGGGGAAGGCCGGCGAGCGGTGCTCCACCCCTCCTCTTCCTCCTCCTCTTCCTCCTCCACCTCCACCTCCTCCTCCTCCTCCTCCTCCTCCTCCTCCTCCTCCTCCTCCTCCTCCTCCTCCCCCTGTTCCCGCTCCATCCCTCACCCTCGATGCGCACCCTCGATTGTGCAGTATATGTGCGCCGAGCTATGTGATGTGCCCTGTGCATGATGCAAGATGTGGTTTGCTAGCTACGTGGTGAAAGCTACACCGTGCAAGCTATGTGGAGCAGACTATGTGTTACCAGCTATCTGACGCGACCAATGTGGTGCAGGCTTTGTGGCGGATGCGGTTTGGTGCAAGCTATGTGACTCGATTCCGGGAGTGCCAGCTGTGCAGTGCGCGCCGTGTGTGGTGCATGATTTGTGGTCGAATGCGTGTGGTGCAGGCTCAGTGGTGCCACCTCGGTGGTGCAATCCTTGCCTGCGGGCGCCCACGAGGCGCCCACGGGCGGGCACCATGCGAAACCCTGGCAGACCCACCCAGCGCACGGGCGCCCTCGAGGCGCGCACGGGCTGGCACCGGGCGAAGCCCTGGCAGGCCAGCCAACGCACGGGGCCCCCACGAAGCGCCCACGGGCAGCCACGGACGGGCATCGGAGACCCTGGCAGACACGCCCAGCGCACGGGGCGCCGACTTGGCGCACACGGGCGGCCAACAACCCGGCATAGCGCACCCATCCAATCACTTGGGTCAAGCAAATGAGAACCCATAAGTGCGAGCACTGTTCGGCGGAAGAGCACCCGGCTGACCTGAGGGCCCTCCAAGGACAGCCTGGACAGCCCACCCGGGCTGGGCGGTCGGCGGGCAACGGACCCACACCCCCCACAACGTTTTGTCGTCTTGTTGGCTGTAGTTGGCTGTGGGTCTGAATGCGAGAGGGGGGGGTCCATCCATTGATCTTTGCACTGTTTTTGTTTTTTTGGCTGTGGGAGATGCGGGCCACGGATGAGGGTCAGGCCAACCCATGCTCCTGCGGCAGCGCCCCGTATGCTTTTCGGCGGGGACAAGCTGCCTGTCTCTGGCGGTGGGTTTCTGGCTACTACTGGGATTCGTCGGAAGGATCAAAGAGGCTTAGGCCCAATTGCGGAGCTGTTACGCCGGAGTGTGCCTCGGATTAAACGGGATTGAGCGGGATTGAACAGGAATAAACAGGATTTCGGACCAGGGCAAAATCAGAATTTGACCTCCCAGGAGTTGCATCCGAACCCCCCTCCTGTCCAGCACGGCGGCAGGGTGGCGCAAGGGCGCGAGCCCGAAAAGCCCGGCGTCGACCTTCTCATGCTGGACAAGGCCGGTGTCCTCGGCTGCGGGGCGGGGGGGGGCGCATCCCTCTGGCGGGGGGAGGGAGGAAGAGGGGGCGGAGGAAGGAGGAGGAGGCGGGGGCGCACGAGTCGGATGCGGAAGAGTTGAAGGCCTTTCTCGGAGGTCGTGGAGGGAGGAAGAAGACGACGAGGCGGCGGAGGACCAGTGTGCACCCAAGACAGAGCAACGATGTTGACATGCACCCTCCCTCCAAATTCCCTCTGCATGGGCCATTACAAAGGTTCATTTCCACTGGGGGACATGCTCCGTTTGGGGACAGTCGCGTGAAAGTCCGGACGCGAGCCAAAACACCACTCTCGGGACTTCAACGCCACGAGTCAAACTGACTGTACCAGAATACCATTTCTGGGACTTCAGCACCGCGAATCATCTCAACTGTTGCACCCTGACATTCCTGAATCGTTCCAAAACGCTGTCTCTGGTACGGTAACCATGAGCACCAGCGACACGTTTGCAACATTTTGGAACGAATCTGCGCGGCGCTGCGGCGAGATCCACATTTTGAACAAAACGCTCAACTTTACATTTGTAAAATTTGATAATGAATGTGCGCGGCGCCAACGCGAGAACCACACTTTGAACCCCCCCGCCCTCAATCTGAGAAGCTCTTGCCAGGTTTTAACACGAATGTGCGCGGCGCTAAGGCGAGAACCAGAATTTGGAAGCGACCCGCCCTCCATCCGTGTGAAACTGTTGCCAAGTTTTCAGTTTCAGGCTCATACTAAGGAAGTCTCAAGCGAAACGCCCGGCCCGCCCATCCCACTGGCCTCGGGGTGCTACACGGAAGAGTTATTCATAAGGAGAAGGAATGGAGGAGACTCGGAGGCGGAGGATGAGCATCAGGATCAGGAGGATGAGGAAGAGTAAGAGGAGGAAGGGGATGAGGAAGAAGAGGAGATGGAACAGGAACAGGAAACGGAGAGGCGATGATAGCGGGAGGGGAAGGAGGAGGATCCGCAGCGTGTTGATTTCGCGAGTGACGTCGAGATTGTCGGCGGTGCTGTTGTCGCGGTCGCGCATGCCAATCAGCATAATCAATCCTCCTCACAAGCAGGAAAAGCTTCCCGGGCATCCGCGAGTCATTATCATGCTTACCCAAGTCCACCTTGTCCAGCAGAGGCCGTGATCGTCGATGATGGGGACCATCCAACAGCCCAGTGAGTCCCTATGCGTGCCGCGCCGCTAGCTAGCCCGTAGCATGGGGCCGCCCGAGCGCGAGATCCAAGGAGGCAAAGACGTGGAACGTTTTGCGGGCGACCATCTGCTGGGTCACATGACTTCGAACTCCGCCCTCATCTGTGCGCATTGGCGGCGGCTCTCTGGAGAACATACAAACGTCCAACCCTGGCCGCGAGGCGCCGCGATCTTCGCGCCTATGCGGGTGACCTAGATCCGCATGATCGTCCTCTGCCCTCCCGAGGGCATCTCCAGGATGTACCCGCCCGGCCTCGAGTGTGCAGTGCAACAGTCTGAGTCATGATCGCGTCACGCGTCTCAGTCCCTACCGAACAACTTCAACACATGACAAACAACACGGCATGCCGCCACACCTCATCTTGAAGAGAGAGAGCCGTAAACTCAAAAGTCCATCACCGATACGCCAAGTAGGCTGGATACTAAAAGTGCGGCTTCGAGTCAGTCCGACCAATTCTTCACCCCTCGATATCCCCGAGCCAGTGAAGCAGGTGAATGTAGCAGGTCCTGGGACTAAATGTCTCAACGCAAGTTTTTGTTGTTCAACCTGTATGTGGCATTACTTCGTGATTCGCGCTGCTTTGAGTGTGAGACTCGGTTATGTTCGTGCTCTCGCGCGTCCCCCTGGAGAAGAACAATTCTGCCGCCCAGACCGCGATGCGTGAACATTCTCGCGCTCATGAGGGCCTCTTCGAAAATTGTGGCTGTCAAACACCTGAATCGTCAGAACAGTCGGGCAACAACTGCACCAACCCATTCATCATTAAATGGAATCGGACGTGGGAGACCGCACCATCCGGGTTGTGCGGGCTCTTGAGCCAAAAGGGTTACGGAGGAGGGAGAGCAGGAGAGAAGGACTTATTAGGAGGAATGAGCTAAGAGCATGTTGGGAATTGGAGCTGCGCACAGGTAGTTGTCCAGCGCAAGCATCTGCTAAGCTACAGTGTCTGACGATGAACGAGCATGGTCGCAGGCTTCTGACTTGCGGGCCTCTTCAGCGGTGGTGGCTTGGGGAGCCCTGGTACCACCACGCGAACAATACCAACGGCCCTGGCAGTGGAGCGGGCCTGGGGTGATTAATAGCCCGCGGCATCAAGCAGGAGCTTAGAAAGGGCCATGGGGGCCAGCCTGCATTGCGCTAACACCGAAGCATGAAAAGTTCAACTCCTCCGCCGACGGCATGGGACACGGCGGTGCCGCGCCACCTCGGCTGCTCCTGCTCAAGCGCGCATCAGACAGGACCATGCTGCCTGGCCCTCATTCATAAATCCGCCACCACGCTCCGCAGCGGTGTGTATGTGGATGCGTGTGTGCGTGTGTGGGTGAGTGAGTGAATGTGTGTGCTTCGCTGACGTTCGCGGCCCTTCGGCCTGCGACCTTTTGCGGCTCGTCGCCACTCCCTCCTCCAGGTCGTTCCTTGGCCTCCTTGCCATCCACTCTGCTATCGCGCTCCCCCCGCCTTCCAGTCCTGGTTGGCTTATGTTACCCTCCACTTCACCGTAGCTCGTCTGTCCACTGTGCCCCCCCGCCGTCCACGCCTGGATGGTTATGGCGGACGGCGCTGTGTGGGCCTAAGTGGTCACTGAGGGCTGGGGCAGTTAGACACGCGCGCACACTTGCTGCTTTCAACCTTCTACGCCTCGACGCAGCGCGCGAGGTCGCGACTCCAACCAAATGTGTGGGTGTGGGTGTGCGTGTGTGTGTGTGTGTGTGTGTGTGTGTGTGTGTGTGTGTGTGTGTGTGTGTGTGTGTGTGTGTGTGTGTGTGTGTGTGTGTGTGTGTGTGTGTGTGTGCGTGCGTTTGTGTGCACGGGCCCGCACCTCATGTTCCGTTCCTGCACGAACCTGTCTAGGCTGCCCGGAAATCTGAATGTCCATGCTCAACTTGATTGAATCGGTCGAATTCACGTACCCACACAAGAACATAGTATGGCTTTGAACGTATCCCGTCTTAGCTGACCGAGTGCTTCTGACCTATCGCCGCGCTGAAGAACATGTCTTTGCTTCGGCCAATTCCACCAAGGAGCTGCTGCACATGGTTTCGAAGTCTGTCCCGTGTGACTCTAGGGCGTAGTATTTCAGCTAATGCCCGACCCGTGGCCAGTGTGTGTGTGTGTGTGTGCGCGCACATACTTTGTGTGCAGGGTGTGTGCGCACGTTGTGCTCCTGGCGTGGCGGGCCCCCCTGCTTCGCGCGACTTCCCTCTCTGGGACGCGCACCTCAGACCGCCGCGGCCCAGGCACCATGTGAGGTGGCTCGCCCTGTGCCTCACATGTGGCCCACCTGGCTCTCGCGCTCGGTGGCGTACCTGGCTTCCCTCGCCCGCCGCTCCCCTGCTGCGCTCGCCCGCCGCCTCCGCCCCCCCGCCATCGCGCGCCTCCGCGCCGTGCGGTTCGCTGCCTGGGTCGCGCGCTGTCCGTCGGGGCGGTGCGTGACCCTGTTTCCCCGGACCTGCTGCACCGATCAGGTGCGTGCTACCTCGGCGCGGCTCTCCTGCCGCGCCTCGCTGCGGCCTCCCTCCTCACCCCGCCCCCTCGCGTCCCATCGCAGTGCGGCAGCTGGCGCCCCCCCGGCGCCCGCCAGTGCCCTGCCCCGCTCCGCGCCCTTCGCTTCCTGGACTGGCCCCACGTTCTGGTGGTGCAGTCCGCCTTCGGGCCTGGCACCCTTGGTCGCCGCATCGGCCCTCGCTGCTATAGGGACGGCCGTCTCTGCCCTGGTGGCCCGCGCCCTGGCCATCTGCTGCCCCGCCGCCGCCCCGCCCCCTGAGGCGCTCGCAATCGCGCCCCTGGCCCAGCTGCTGCCCCTCGCGCAGCCCTGGACGCCCTGCCGAGCCGCTGGCATCGCAGTTGCACGAGTGCGTTTGGTATCGCGCGATTTGACGAACAATGTTTGACAGCACGCGCCTCCGGCCCTGACCCGCCCAGCGCGCGATCCCAGGTCCCCTGGTAGCCGCCGCTGCGCCGCTGCTGCCGCCCTGGCCCGCTCATGGTGGAATTCTTCCGCCTCTGAGCGCCTCCTCCTCCTCCTCCTCCTCCTCCTCCTCCTCCTCCTCCTCCTCCCTTCCGCCCGCGGCCCCTTTGTCCTCCTTCCAGTCTTGCACGCCGGACAATTAGCTTAGTAGTGCCCCTGCTTCGCTCTTTCGCTGGTGCGGATTGCCCCGCCTCGCCGCCGACGAAAAAAGTGTGCGCACGTTGATTAATGCGCGATGTGTGCGTCTCAACTCTCGATGTGTGATCGTGGTGTATGTCGTGGATATGCGCAGTTGTGTGTCCTTGGCGACTTGGGCTGGTACATCTGCATGTCGTATGCTATTCATATTGCGCTGCTGGTGTAAGTGATCGGCTTGTAAGACTGTGTAGCTTGCGTGTATCCTAAATGGCGTGATGGTGGTTATCCTTATGTGCAAATGCGGCTGGCATATGTTACTCATGGACGGTGTTTGCTTGAGTGTGTGCGTGTGTGTTCTTATCTTGCTCTCATGCTGTCCATTATCGATGTCTAGTTTTAAGAGGGGGGGCAAGCATGTTTGTTCCTGTTGACTAGTCGTGGCTCAGTTTCGTGATGTGTGCGTGGTATTGATGTGTGATGCTGATGGTCACTCACGTTGGAAATTGGTTTGCGTGTGTGCAAGCGCGTGCGATGATTGTCCGTTGCTGGTGCGCGTGGTTGGTTCAGTGGTGGGTGTAAATTCTCGTTGTTTGGTATTCGTGTATGTGATGCCTGTCATTGGTGGATGTTGGGTAATCCAGCTCCTGATGTGTATGATTGAAGAAGCGTGTTCTC